ATGATAATGTTTAAAAGAATGGCTAAATTAATATAAATATCTAATTTTTCCACTTTTTTTTTAATATTTAAAATTTTTTAAAATTTTAAAAATACACTTAAACATTGAATATTTTTCAAAAAAGAAATATTTTAATTAAGTAAGGTTCATCATATTATTAAATATAATAAAATGTATGTTAAAATATCATAATAAAAATATTTCCCTAATACAATAGTTATTTATTAAGTAGGTAATGGAAAATATTTAGTTAATAAGGATTGGGAAAGCTAATAGAGGGGTTGTGGATACCCTCATGGTGATGGCTATGCAGTTTACCTGCTTTATCGTTTATGCAACTTGAAAATGTGGGCCACTGCCTGTGCCATTGACAAGACATGGCTTTACCTTTTCCCATGGCCGCGACCAACGTAGAGCATGCGTCGGTTTAGAAGTAGGTGGTTCGAATCCACAATCTCAGCTGATGCTTAGTTCAACAAACAAGATAGATGTTAGGTACTTCCCAGTCGAGTTATGTTAATGATCTAAACCGTTTCTAGTCATACTCTTGCTCGATGAAATTCAAGTGGTTGAGGTTAACATTAGAACGATACCAATTCACATGTTAATGCAACAGATTACGACATTTTAAGATCCCGAGACAAGGATCTCACCTACCTCGAGATTTACATCCAACAACATGGGAGGTTCACAAACACTTTGAACAATTTAAGAAACTTAGTAGTAGAAATGGATACGATTCTCAGAACACAGCAAGAAGAATATGAGGCTAACATTACTGAAATTTATGAACATTATGCAGCCATATTTGCCAGAAGATTTCAAGTAGTATCATTTTCTTTCTCTTTTTTCAGAACGAAATCTGGTACGAACATAAAGTCCGATGCAAACCGGGTACCCTTCGACATTCTGTAATGAACTGAATGCAGATATGGGAACATAAGCAGTAGATGTAAAGAAGGAATAAGTTTCAGTATTGATATTAACCAAATGATCATCCATTTTCAAGAATCATGACTATGATGATCGTCGGGTTCTATCAATATGACACCAGATGCATAAGACGTAACGAAAATCGAAAAGAAAAATGTGATGAGCAGATTGAGGTTCATAAAATTCTATCTTGTGGTATACGTTAGTAAACCAACCATGCATCGACAATGCCAACAAGACATCAAACTTTAAAGAAGTGCCTACCTCAACTTAACATTAGATTTGACTCCCAGGAGTGGTCGAAGGCAAACATGGACCTCGTGTTCTTCCGAACCTTCCCGGAGTTTGGGGACCATAATCTCAAGAATGGACCCAGGTCCATCGTAGTATGCTTCAATGTTAGCATCTTCAGGAATTCGAGTCAGAAGAGGAATTTCTCTCACGAATTCACCAGGAGGACAGTGTTCGGGATACGAATCTAAAAGCTTGAAAGTTCTATCGTGCCTCTTGATGAACGGCATACGAGATGTGCTCACACAAGAAACCTTTATAATACCATGTGTGAGAGTATTCCTCCACGAAACTTTGACACTTCGTAGATCAACAAAGGGCAAACTGATGATTATTAAATAACCCTCACCGTCTTCATATATCGTCTTTGCAGCTGTAACAGGCCCGTTAATGTTCTTCATAACTCCGCTAAAGTCGTTCAACCACTGCAGACCATTCAAGTGCTTGTCCATATCTGAAACCCAGTTGGGAGGATGGACTGTCAACACGCTATCATCGTCATTCATATTAGGAGATGAACTCTTCCTCCTCTTGCTGGTAACAGGAGATGAATCCATCATATCATAGCTGTTGTGGTTAGACAAATGTAGTGTTGATCCATTGAGCAATTTCTTTGGTGGAGGATTTGAAGCACTTTTGACAGAAGGAACAGGCCTCTCAAGTTCAAAATCAGGGCAAGAAAGGTTCCTCCATGAGCTAAAACCGCTCGCTTCAGGTGGGATGACGAAGTTTAAGTCTCGACCCGTTAGTTCTACCCATCTCTTCTGTAGATCTTCATCGAGTGACATTAGATTGGGAGATTTAACAACCTCGATTCCGTGTACACACTGAGGATTTGAGAGACCCCTGTAATGCTTTCGTTGCATTCGGTGTGAGCGAACGAAACCTTTTTCAGCACCGAATGGGAAGGCAGGCTCACCTTGGCGAGAATGCCCATTCATATAACTTCTAAGCTGCATTTTACCTAATGCATTCTCAGGCCTCTCCTTGAAAGCCCACATGTACATGTTCTCCATGTCATGTTGGACCATGAAAACATCAATCTTAAGATCCGACTTCTCAAATCCTGAAACACCGTTGCTATCACGGGTAATCTTAGCCTTCGATTTCTCGTTTAACACAGGCTTGAAGTAGAAACTAAAGAAAAACCAAGCACCCCAGATGCTGTCAACGCGCTTGGTGCATTTTCGAACAACCTTCGGAACAGTTAAAAAAGTTTCGGTCTCATAAACTTGTGAAGAAGCAAGCCCAACATCTAACATGTTACAATGATCAGAATTCCATGGCTGCAGAGTGTAGCTGCAATCAGTTGACAATGGTAAGTTTATGTCAGGAGGACGGGGAAGAACGATCTGTCTGTTCATTTCCAAATCCAGTTCTTCGTGAGACGAGGCACTTGAATCCATGAATAGAAGAGTAGATGGATGATGATTCTCTAGTGAAAGGGCTGTGAGGAGAGAATCTCCCATTTCAGTTCATCTCTTATGAACTCATATTTGTTTCTGGGAAGTTGAATAGGAAAAAAGGGAAAGAAAAAGAAAACACCGACTGAAGAAAATAACCCTGTAAACACTCTGATGATGTCAATCCCCAGTGTATCTTCCCTCCATCAAAACCCTAGATTTTCCAATCAGAGAACAAATTACTCACAATCTCAACGATTCAAAAAGGAACAAACAATCCCAACAAAAACAGATAAATCGAAACAACAAATCCAAATGTTCGTTTAAAACATCCACTTCTCAATCGCCAATACACTAAATCGGATAGAAATCTTCCTAAAAACGCCCTAAATCACTCAGAAACGCCGATTTCAGATCCAAATATGAAAAAAAACCAAATCGAATCCATCACAGAAATCAACGATTAGCCAATGAACAAGAAAATCTAAACAAAACCTAAAATCGGATATACCTTTTGGGATAAGCATCGGGAAATCGAGAGGTTGAAGGGCCTCCAAAACCGACAAGAACTTTCATCTCCATCGTATCGTCAACAACCATCCCTGAAATCGCTCAGTTCTTCGATTTCTTCTTCTTCTTCCCCCTTCTTCCTGTCGTAAAAACCAGAGAAAAACGGAACAAAGCAGGGCTGCGGCAGGGTAGAATGAAAAGGGGGCGAGGGATTTTGGAGTCAAATGCTGCAGCCTCGTTTTAAAGGAGAAAATTCGAGGGTCAAAACCAAAACTACAGCACAGCCCACTTTGAAAAATCTCTGTTGCATCGTATTCTCCCCTTCTTAAATAACAACAAAACATTTCCCAAAGCTTAAACAACAAGATCATCACTTCCAATAAAGTGATATGGAGTTTGTTATTTAGTTACAGATTCATTTAAGGAAAAGGTCAAGATTTATGTTAGGCACTCTAAAAGTGCAGAACATTATTACACGACAACACACCCATCCAATCACTCCCAACCATAGAAATTAGTGGAACAAGACGTTGATTACGTTCTAAGCTCTACGCCCATACCCACCCAATCATATTAAAATCTTCAATCTTTCTTAATATTCTTTTAATACTTAATCTCCACTTAATTAAAATAACAACACTTTAATGGTATTGCTAGTTCAAGGGTTAACCAAGCCAACTAAATCAAAGTTTCAATCATATTCTCAATTTTATTTTATGGTTAATTTGATTAACTAAATGGTTATAATAAATGGTTATAATGATATGATTATTTGTCGAGCTAACTTTTACCGTAATAGATGGATAATCAAACACGATATATAAACAAAATTTATTAATGATTTATATAGTTTTTTTTTTTTTTTTATGACAAACGTAACGACGTGTTACCAATTAAGCTAAAGTTATTCGTTTATGGCCCACAACCAATTAAGCTAATGATGATAAGTATATTAAAATAATTAATGTGCTTAATTATTCATATTAATGGAGCATTATATTAAGCTTAGTCTACCTCTCAATAATGTCTTGGTGGTCCATTATAATAATTTTGACAATAACATGTTACTCAACCTAATGTTTACTTATGTAAATCTTTGTATTTTTCTTCTTATTCCTGTCCCTTCTTGAATTATTAATCTCTATGTATTATTGAATGACACCCATTGATTTCAAATTATAATTATCTAAAATCCAATACAATTTTAAGAGAAAATAAAAATAAAGACTTTACACGTTGGCGCTTCTTACACTGACGAATGTGCCTCCATTCCTTTATCTTCTATTCCGAGAGAGGTAGAATTCGGATAGAATTCAAATCTACGTAAAAAAAACTTCGATAGTGCGATAGTTTTTCACTTTTGAACGATCGACCCCCTTCTTGGGCTGAGGCCTCCAGTAATGGGTTCTAAGAAGGAAGACCCGCCTGGAATCAATCAATAAGTCTTTTGATTTGATTGAAAAGATAATGATTCATTTAGTCAGTTCATAACACATACACGAACCTTCACAAATAGGGTAAAGGTAGGCACCACGGGCTTAGCCATCTGCACGACCGGGCGCACAATAGGCTAGTGTGCGCTCTCACTGTGCAATGAACCCAGATGGGGATCAACGTGAGGACAAATTCCATGTTATTATCTACAACATGCTAATGAACAGACTCAGAATTTTCCCTGTTATTATCTAATCAACGTGAGTTCTAATTTTTACCCAACATCAAAATGATAACGAATACCATTTTAATTGCATACAAGAACTTGAACATAGCCTGCTATTAGAAACCACTCATCAAAATCGAATCGATGATTCGAAGATTTCTTTTCTGGTATAAAGATTTAGACACAAAATAAGTCAAGCTCGACAAAGTGCTACCAAACATTCACGAGAATTATCTAATGTTCGTAACCATTCGAACAGATAAACTTGCTTGAAAGCGAATCAACTTCTATTCATTACAAAGCAAATATAGAGAGAAAAATTCAATCGTGAAGTCACAAATAATGTTGCCGGGCACATAATAAACAGTGTCTTTAAATTGGGGGGTTACCACTATAGACGTCTTTGATGGATACAACAATTGCAAATACAGCATGCCCCCCAATAAAAGTAAAGAGAAAACGACTGCAAATGTACTAACCTCAACAAAATATGAGCGACCCATGTAGGATTTGATATCCACTTCCATAAGAATCTGATCAGCTCTAGCTACATGTTCTTGTAATCATCATCTTTACCAGTGTGTTGACCAGCCATCCGTATGAGCTACTCCAACTATTCAATTTTTCACCATTGGAGAAAACCAGGATCTAGTTTGTGGTGTATTCAGATGCTACCTAATCATACAACATTTTTTTTTATTAATTAGGGATAAAGATGTCCGGATAACTGTCAGGAAAATAATCACTTCATAGTAACCAAGAATGCAGATTAAAACAGTGTAAATATATCATGAAGCCAAAGAAGCGATGAGTTTGGTTTAAAACAGTGTAAACGTATCATGGCTCCCATGGAGAGATTGGGGATCAAAGAACATCAACAAAACCATTGAGAATTAGGTTCATTGTTACCAACCTCAGAGAAAGCCTCCTTCCGACCATGTGCCACCACCAGCTTTTCCATTTTGACCAACCGTTTTCCGATCAGATGACGCCTGATAATAGTGATCGTATCCATCATCCTTTAGGTCATCCCAGCCAGCCCAGCCATCATTGTTGTTGTTGCTGCTGCTGTTGTTGTTATGGGATCCACTGCTTTTGGTTGTTTCCTCTTTCCTGCTATCTTTGGCGGTATCCCAATCATCCCAAGAATTTGAGCTGTAAGAATTGTTCTGTCCATGTGCACTTCCTGATGATTGTCCTGTCCCAGAAGAATTCCATCCTTTGTTATCGTGTTCAAATTCTTGATAATATCCATTTTTCACACTTTCATTTCGTTGCCAGCCATCTTTGGTGTACTCTTCAACCTTTTGTGAAGCAATTGCCATTACACCTCTCATAAGTCCCCACGTCCTCTGCCCAATTTCTGTTGTTTTTGCCGTGACAACATTGACGGTTTCATTCACCTTGTAATCATAGCCACCCTCCTTCACCTGTAAAATTAATTTTCAAACGTACATTTGGGAGGATAAGAATTTCAGTACCAAACCAAAGTTTGCTCCCATGGGGATCATGGAACAAATCACTGCCTCAAAGGATACGAAAAATCTTTACCAACAAGAAGTGTAGTAAAAAATTAGTATGACCAAGACACAATCGAAGAGTTTTAGGGAAAAAGAAAAGAACATCTAAGTAAATACAGACACAAAGCGTAAAATTAGACATGTTCACACATAACAATACTAATCTGTATTTATAGTGCAACGAGTAAACATAGATAAGATCTTTTCAAAAGCAGAAGAAGACGTTAATGAAACGGTTCATGATATTCCATGTGAAGTACAAACACTAACACTTCCAATAATTTGCAACAACACCAATGTCAAATTTTCAATCCAAGTACTTACAACAAGAAGATGCTAGCGCCAAATTAAAAGGTAAATACCTTGGTAGTGAGCTCTTTTGTACCAGCTTGAACAGCATTTGCTGCTGACTGAGCCGCAGAAGCAGCAACCAGAGATAATTTACCAAATCCCTGAAATGAAATGAGTCACCAATTGATCAAACTTACATGATAAATCATTACAAAAGCATATCGACGAACAAATAATGTGGATTACACGACGTAATACCTGAGAAACAACAGAGAAAACGTCACTTTGTGCATCATTCCTTTGAGTAGGTGCAGGACTCGACCCAAAACCAACATATTTTCCTCCCTGTGATGGTGGAATTCCTTCAGGCCGTGAATCATTCTCAGCTAATTTCATGGCGAAAAAATTATCTTTATTTGCAGCAGAGGCCTCCAATTGAGACCGTGTATAAATATCCTCGGTTGATCTTGACCTGGATGGCGCCCCTCCGCCGCCCATGCCACGAACATCGCCAGTCGATTGGTTTCGCCTCATATCACTAGAAGATCTAAAATTATCGTCGTTATCCCAACTATCCCAACCTCCGTTATTCGTCTTACTCCCACCTCCACCAGCACTTTGCGCCAATGGAGGCCTCGATTTTCCAACACCAATGTTCTCCTTCGAAGCCGGCGGATCCTTCCAAGATCGGCCCTCGGCTAGGGCTTGAATTCGATCCCTATAAACGCCAGCCGCTTTGGTATTATATTTGGTCACAATATCCGTCTCTTTAGAGATTCCATATTGCGCAAGGAAGGCATTAAGCTGCTCATTACCCCCAGCCTCCATCTTCTTGATCTGGATCTCAGACCAAGAATCCATGGTAACGGATCTAACAAACGAGATATGAACACCAAGACCACGGTGTTTCCCGGAGCATTCCAAACACATAAAAACACCATATGAAACGGAGGCCCATTGGGGATTCTTCTGTGAACAATCAACACAGATCTTATTCCCCGGCCGTGATTGAAGATCCCGAAGCCGCCGTGACGCCGCCATTTAGATCAGATCCAATAGATCGGACCACGGGATCGAATTCAACGAATAAAATCACACAAAAGCTAAATCGGATGCAGCAAAATCGACAATCAAAAACAGAAATGGAAAATTGGAAAAAGAGAAGAAAAACCTCAGAAATATAAAAAGAAAACTGCTGAGTAATTCAAAGGGATAAAGAGAAGAGACGGAAGGCCGGCGATTAGGTCGTAACCTTGAATTCTTAACAATTTCTTCTTGATTTCGTTGCTTCAATCTGTTCCTCTTTCGGCGAGTCACCGACACCCTCACAAGTCGTCAAAATCTCCTCCTTTCTAGCGCTCCTTTTGCATAAGGAGAGAGAGAGGGTGGGCGAGAATCGTCTCGCAGTATAATTTCCATTTATATTATAATCCATCAATTTAGATTCTTTCCTTTAAAAAAAAATCTAGAAAAATGTGAGTTAAATATTGAAAAATATAGATATAATAAAATAAAATAAAATATGAAAATAGGTTATAATCTAACCAAGAGTGAAAAATAAACTTATTATTATAAATATTAATTTATCTACAAAAAAAAATTAAGGGGACATCATTGTTTAAATACAATGCCAATAAAAAAAATGTAAATCTTATAAATATTTAGTTTAATAGATAAAATATTAAAAATAAATAAATATACACAAATAGGTGAAGATGTATAAACAAAATTACTTTAAATTTTTTTTATTTATATGGAATAACAAATTAAGATTTAAATTAAAAATTGAAATATAAGATTTATATTATGTTCTCCGAGTTTGGATATGTTTCAAAACGGGCCTTTACTTGGGTCATTCGGCCACTTTTTCGCGGGCCTTTTTTTATTTTCGAGTTGGGCCTAGACGTAGCCCATTATGCACAACGTTCACCTGGCGATACATGGGCCTGAGCCCAATAAACCAACTAATGGGCTAAGCCAGCAGCGTACCCATGGGCTTCTGCCTCGCTTGTGTGAACTGGCCCAATGTATGACCCACTAACGTTGGACCTAAAAGGAAAAGGCATTAAATATCTAAATTTATTGTGATTATTGAAGTTTTAAAAATTTACCTTATAAATTATAATTAATGCTTTAAAAAATTATTCATGCCAAATTCCTTCCCTACATTCCAATAATAATATAGTTCAAATTAGTGACAGCAATTATGTACTGCTTTTACCATGCTTTTACCCAAGTGTTAAAGTTACCCATTTATTATTAAATTACTTTTATTTAGATTGTCCTTTAACGAAGATAAGCCGATCGTCCGTCCGGAACAGTTTATAGATAAGAAAATAACAACAAATGGAATAAGATGTAGGTCAATGTCAATGCATCGACCACCCAAACGCAATTTTTGAGTGATCTATATCTTTTTTTGTGTTAGTTGACCTAACTTGTAACATTAATGTGGGGGTGAAGGTAGCGCTCAGCCTCCGAACCGTACGTGAGACGAGTTTCTGTCTTATACAGTTCGCCCAAAAGACGGAAAGAAATTTAAAAGAAATAGAGAAAACTAGTCATTGACTATTGTAGTATTTGTACTGAGTTTCGGTTTTAATTTAAAATAATAATAATAAACACTTACACTTATATATAAATACAGGGTGTTTAATTAATGCTGTGATACAATTTGTAATAACAAATGACTCAAGTCCATTCCCAACAAATATTGTCTTTTTTTTTTGGGTTTTCTCAAGTTTCCCATCAATGTTTTTAAAATGCGTCTCCGAAGGTTTCCACCCTCTTATCACTTTATAAATAGTGTTTTGTTCTTCTCTACCGACATCAAATTTAAAAATTATTTATATATATTAATTATTACAAAATTCATATTATTTATTAAGAATTAATGTCCAATTAAAAACTAATGAGTGTTTCTGGCCTAGTTACTGTCTCTCCGTCCTTTTTGAAAGGTAAGAATACCATGTTTCTAGGACCTCTCCCGAAATCAAGTAACGCGTGAAGCGCGTGATTTTCTTTAATGCTATTTTATATTTAAAATTAAAATAAAATCTTCCCTTTATTATTTTTCCTAAATACTTATTAATGTTTAATTAAATATGCTAAACTTACCTGAAAAGTACTTCATTAAAAATGACCGTCCAATAATAGTAAATTATTGGAAAGAAAAAAAACATTTCAAAAAGGCTATTATCAACCCTAAATTTGTAGCAACTCAACTACTCAAAAATATTATATCTTTTAGTTTATACTTATTATCTTCAGCTTTACAATTTTAAAATGTATCTATTCGGAAGAAGTGTCCACACTTTATATGGAATATTTCATTTCCCTTTTCAACCAATTTGAGATCTTACAATCCGCTTCTTTTAGTGGCCTAGCATCCTCGCTGACACACTAGATAACTAACTTTGTCACAATTTGTAACAGTCAAACCCTATTGCTAACAGATATTTTCCGCTCACACTCTTATAAAGAAGTTTTGATTCCACATATTTATTTTATAAAATAAATCTAGAAATTAATAATAATAATAAATAAAAGGAAAATTTGACCAATATTGGCAAGTGGAATTTATCCCATAATGTTAATTATTGTGATTAATTAAAGCCGCCGTCAGTCACATGGAGCTCAGGCAGTTGGCAAATTGCCGTGTTATCAAGTTGTGAAAACACAGACCGCCCATCTCGGCTCGCCCACCCTCACCTATTTGATATTAATGGCTATGTGACTCGATAATTTGACCCATTTAGATTATTTTATCTTTATCGTAAAAATTTGGTTGAGTTAAATAGTTACGTTCTATTATTAAAAAGAGTGAGAACAAAGAAATCATTATATCAAACATGAGTTTGTTTTATTTTGCTTAAAGAACATAAAAATAAAAATAGTAAATTATCATACTCTCGAGTTAAAATACAGAGGTCATTTCTATATAGGAATATAAAGAACTTTAAAGTTTAGGTGGGCCCACAATAAATCTGTCCTTAGTCTGGAATGATAAGTTAACACGTAATCGATGAGTGAAACGTACAAGTTTGTCATCAATGAGATTTATGTCGAGTACAAACTCAAATTGTTTGATAGAGTGGTCCATGTTGGATGATGAAAGTCCCACATCGGCTAATTTAGGGAATGATCATGGGTTTATAAGTGAGGAATACTAACTCTATTAGTTTGAGGCATTTTGGGAAGCCCAAAGCAGAGCCATGAGAGCTTATGCTCAAAGTGGACAATATCATACCATTGTGGAGAGTCGTGTTCGTCTAACAGTCCATAGTTCTTATAAATAGTTCTTAACTCGATCCCCTAACTCTATGCAAATTACATTCATATGGTTTAAGAAGAGTCGAGCTCGTCCTCAAGATATGCAGCTCAATGGGTAACCTAATTAACCTACATGTCTGTCACTAATGGAATTCACACGACCAGAACTGGTGGCATGACCAAGTACAAATTGATAGCGTAATAAAGTTGTCCATGAAACTCCTTGTAAATAGTAAAACTTGTCTCAGACATTAGCACATGAATTCACTATAGCTGTAACAACTCAAACCCACCATTAGCAAATATTGTTTGTTTTGGCCCGCTACATATTAATGTTAGTCTCACGGTTTTAAAACGTGTCTACTAAAGAGAGGTTTCCATACCCTTATAAAGAATGCTTCGTTCTCCTATCCAACCGATGTGAGACCTCACAATCTAGCCCCTTGGAGGCCTAGCGTCCTCGCTAACACAACTATTTGTAACAGTTCAAGTCCACCAATAGCAAATATTGTCCGTTTTGACCCATTACGTATTATCGCTAACCTCATGATGGACGTGAAAACCTTTTATAAGGACGAGAAAATGTTATGTTTTCCTGTACTAGCGGTGAGCTTGAATTGTTACACAAACTCAACTCAAATTGGAACATCATTATCCTCAAAAGCAAGTTGAGGGTAGCACATGGGCATATTTACTTCCATGTTGGGGATTCACATACCAATAGGGCCAATATTTCCTTCACTTTCATTACAACAAATCACATTAAATGATAATATGTTTGCCCATATGAAAAGGGAAATAAAAATATACAAATACGATGAACGACCACATTTAATACTTCATAACTTAACCGAACGTTCATATTAACGATTGAAAGCTTTGAAACCCAACCTATTAAAGACGTTCAAAGCTAACTTCGTATACGACCATCCACGGCTCAGTTTCAAGTCAAAAAATAGCTATCCAACCCTTCTTCAAAAGCTGACTATAATTTTATACCATTTAAAAGAAGAAGATTCATCGAACCACGACTTTCGTGTGAAACTAAAACCATGTCAAAGCCAATTTAAGCTTTAAATAGATAATATGTCACACAAAAATAAAATATTAGAAAATAATAATATTATTAAATATAATAGAATTACATTCTATAAATGTTGGGTCCAAAACGGCGTTAAGATGTTTTATAAATTTAGGAACCATTTTTAAAGCGTTATACATAAAGTTCACTTATAGCAACAATATTTTGATAATTTCTCAATCCTACTTTAGCGGACACGTTTTTCACTATTGTATTTTTTAATAAAGAAAAAGTCGGGTAATTCAGATAAAGTCATTATTTAACCTAACCCATTACATTAAATACAACCATATTGATATGATACCGATTTAAATCCGTGAAAGTACTAACAAAATTATTATTTTTTATTTAAAAATATGTGTATAATCAAAATAGGAAATTATGAGTGAAATTAATTGAAAATAATGCTAATTTGGGACTTTATATTCCTAAAATATGCTATTTAATTTTGCAATAAATATACGTGATGGTGAAATTATTTAAAATTCTTAAAATAATCAGTGAAATAAATGAATTATTTTGGGTAATTAAATTAAAGGGGGATGGGTGTAGCCAGATTATTTTCTATTGTGAAATATAAATTAAAATAAAATAAAATAAAATAATTAATTTCATTTTTTTTCTTCTTACCGTCATTAAAGAAGTTCCATTATTGTGTCGTATACCAAAAGGGGTTGAAACCATAAAAGCTTGCTATTTAATGGGGCAGTTTGATTTCAATGATTATATATATATATATTATAATTTGAACGAATTAGTTAAAATATATTTAATTTGGAGTTATATTAAGATAATTAATTTTGAAATTTAGTATTTGTTTGATGGATTTAAGGTTGTCAATGTTTGATTGCTTCTGTGAAATCCCATGTTGATTGGAGAAAGAAACGAAATATTTTGTATTAGGACAATATTTGCTAGCGGTACTTCTCGATATGGTACTATCACGTCCTCTAGCGACAGAGCCGATGACACGCACATGTTGCCACCCAATGAGTACACATCAACAACATTGTACTATTAAAGACTGACAACAATTTTATTTCTCTTTATTGCATTGT